TTGCTAGGTACGAAGGAGTGCGTTACCCGTTAGCAGCCCGTCTCCTAGATTGCCAAACCTACATCGACGACATTATCGGAGGAACAGACTCGTTGGAGGAAGCCCGTGAGTTGAGGGATCAATTAGTATCGCTGCTAAAATTGGGTGGTTTCGAGTTGCGCAAATGGGCGAGCAACTCCCCCGAGTTATTGAGTTCACTCCCCGCTTCACATCATCAACCCGTTTCCCTATGGGGAGACAACAATCCCAGTTTAAAGGTGTTGGGATTGCAGTGGTGTCCCTTACGGGATGTGTTCTCCTACCGCATCCAAGTAGCGGATAGGACGTGCACAAAAAGGAATATTTTGTCGCAAGTAGCCCAAATATACGATCCCCTAGGTTTTTTATCCCCGGTCGTGTTGACTGCCAAAATTCTCCTACAGAGGCTTTGGTCCCAGGGCGTCGATTGGGGTGCACCTCCCCCCCGCGACATATTCGAAGATTGGAGTTCGTTTTCGTCTCAGCTGGACAGTCTTTCTGGGCTGACAATCCCTCGTCGGGTACTGCCTAGCAATGGCGTCCAGGTGGAGACGCACGGATTTTGTGACGCTTCGGAGCGCGGATACGGTGCAGCCGTGTATCTGCGAAGCGTCAGAGAGGGCCATATCTCTGTCACCCTTCTGTGTGCAAAGAATCGGGTAGCGCCTTTGAAGCGAGTGTCGATCCCCCGTCTGGAGTTGTGCTCAGCGTTACTGCTCGCCCAACTCGTAGATTTCGTCCGATCCACTATAGCCTCTGAGTTGACTATCACGAGAGTATTCGCCTGGAGTGACTCCAAAATTGCGTTGTCTTGGATAAAGTTCTCCCCCCACAGATGGAAAACTTTTGTGGCCAATCGCGTGTCCCTCATTCAGGACATCATTTCCCCCAGTTCCTGGCATCACGTCGCCGGTTCATCCAACCCTGCTGACTGCGCATCCCGAGGGCTTTTCCCCGAGCAAATATTAATCCACCCCTCTTGGTTCTGTGGTCCCCCTTGTTTGCGTCTTCCGGTGGAAGAGTGGCCCACCTCCGACTTCACCCCCGGAGACGATCTGGAACTGGAACGTAAACCAGTGTTGACTTGTGTGTCCACCAATTTAGTTGACTCGCTCGGAGAACTGTTAACCCGTTTCTCGTCGTTACGAAAAATTGAGAGGATCCTGACTTATTGTTGTAGGTTTCTAAATAATTGTCGTACCCCCGTTCATAAGCGAGCGCTTGATAATTTGTCTTTTGCGGACACGTATCACGCCCGCACCTTGCTGACAGGATACGTCCAACGTGAGGTGTTCGCCGGTTTGCTGAAGTGTCTTCGAAACGGTAAACTGTGCCCCAAACCTTTACGCTCCCTAGCGCCCTTTATCGACGAGCACGGTCTCATTCGAGTCGGTGGCAGACTCCGAGGTTCTGCGTTGTCTTTCGACGTAAAACATCCTCTTCTACTACCTCGAGACCATCGCTTTACCGAACTCGTGATCGAAAAGTTCCATAAGAAAAATTGCCACCCGGGCCCCCAATCGTTGTTGTACCAGATTTCACAACAATTCTGGATTTTGTCCGCCCGCAGAGCAATTCGTCACACCCTATCGCAGTGTTACCGATGCTTCCGTGTCTAACCTTCTTGTGTACAGCCATTCATGGCTGATTTACCCCCCGTTCGTGTATCGCAGGTCAAGCCATTCGCGCATACCGGTGTCGATTTCGACGGTCCAATTTCCATTACCCTGGCGCGAAGGCGCGGCGCTAAGACTCAGGCGGCTTACATTTGCCTATTCGTTTGCATGGCTACCAAAGCCATCCATTTGGAATTGGCTTCTGAACTCAGCTCAGACGCATTCTTGGCCGCTTTTCGGCGCTTTGTCGCTCGCCGCGGGCGTTGCACTGACATGTATAGTGATCAGGGTAGAAATTTTGTCGGTGCTAACCAGTTGTTGGTACAGTATTGCCAGCAGTCCGCCGACCAGTGTGAGGTGCGCTGGCACTTCAACCCACCCTCCAGTCCTCACTTTGGAGGTCTTTGGGAGGCCGGCGTCAAGTCGGTAAAGACCCATTTGTTTCGTGTGATAGGCTCTCAAATCCTGACTTTCGAGGAAATGTCGACAGTGTTAACTCAGGTGGAATCCATACTGAATTCCCGCCCATTATGTAGTTTGAGTTCCAACCCAAACGATTTGCATAGCCTTACTCCTGGGCATTTTCTGACCCTGGAGCCCCTATCTGCCCCTCCCGACGACCCTTTAGCTAATCTGAACACTAACAGACTCACTCGTTGGCAGCTCATGCAGCAGTTGCATCAGCACTTCTGGGACAGATGGCATCGGGAATACCTCCACCAGCTGCAGCAACGGCACAAGTGGAACACCACGACTAACCCCCCAAAAGTTGGTCAGTTGGTTTTAATTAAAGACGAGAACCTCCCCCCGTTAAAGTGGCTTCTGGGCCGCATCACGCGCTTGTACCCCAGTTCCGACAAGAAAATTCGCGTTGTGCAAGTACACACGGCCAAAGGCACTTTCGATCGACCTTTGGTCAAATTATCTTTTGTCCCTAACTGTTAACCTGTTCAAGGGGCAACCGTGTATATAGTATAGGATAAGTTTATGGGAAAAATTGGGTATTTTTGGGAGGCCGGAATGTTAAGGGATGAATAACATTTTTCGGTAACTTCATAATTTTTTTTTGTTTTGGGTTAACTTTTTATTTTCGCGCTGTGTATACAACACCCCCACCATACCCAACCTTGGTTAAGCCGCGCGAAAAGACAGACTTGCGTGAGCGTCCGTAGTGCGAACCACGAAAAACTAATCTCTCTTCTGTGACCGGTTCGCGAGAACCCCGCGCTGTGTTGTGGTCCTTACCACCCCCAACCCTCCAGAAAATACCCCTAAGAAGACCCGGCCGGGCAGACGACGACGCGGGAAACCATCAAGGTGGGTGATTAACCGTTTCGGGTGTTGTATGTCCTACCGTTTTCTTGCCGCTCTTTCTCGTTTAAATTTTGAGGGTGATTTACAACCACCTTCCCCCAACCCTTTACATATTGGTCCTTCTCCCCAAATCAGAATCAGTCTTTTGGATTTTTATAGTCATTCACAAACTTTAGTAATTTAAATACATGTTCGCTATCGTGAACAGGTTAGCAAAAAACGTGTAAAGTTTGGAGCGCAAAAAAGCGGTTTAATAAAAAGTGTTTACCGTCGTTTCGAATTGCGGCCTTTTTATTTGATTCGTTCTAAGCATATTTTCTGCGTGCTCAAATTCTTCTTCCTTTTAATTTACGTGGGTACTTTGTTTCGAGACTTAGGAGTGCATTTGTTTACAAAGCGATTTACAATGTCGGAAATGGATAAATTTATTGCTAAGCGGGATTTATCACTTAGACGCGTTACCGATATATTGTTTTGTTTGTGTTTGAGGGTGATTTACAACCACCTTCCCCCAACCCTTTACAATATACTTTATAATTTATCTTGTTCATATTCTATATAATTCCATTTTAGAGTAAATTGTGGAATCTTTCTATAACTGAAAACAAAGAGGTTAGAAACAGTAAATTAAATTTCAGTCAAATAATAATCTTAATACGGCAATCAATAATTAATATTTTCATCAGCAAAAATGTATAATCGAAATTTTCCAGTAAATCAAATTTAAAATTGTAAAACTCTACTAAACATAAAAATTCAATCTAAAAATGATAAATATTTTTAAACATGATTTAATCATTCACCTGATATTTCCTTAATATAAAAGTAACTACAATTCTTTCAATGAAACAGTAATTTTCAGTCGACAAAATTTATAAATTATCTTTACCCATATCCGATTGCATAAAAAGGGAGAAAGCCTCGTATTTTCTGCTTACCGAGTGCTTTGCTTTAACATGAGCAAGATTGGGAGTCTTCGGAACGACCCTGATCGATCGGGATTTAGCGCATGGTAGTACTAGACTAAAGAAGTTGCTAACCTTCTATAGAAAGGGTGGCATTTTGGACGTTCTCTAGAGCGGTCTGGTGGCCTAAATGCTTGGACGCCCACGAGCGCCTCCCTTCAATATCAATACCAATATCCATATCCGATAGAAATCATTTTAAACGAATTATAATGATTCTTGACAATGAAACTTTTAAAAGTTGTGTAATATCAATATATACTTTATAATTTATCTTGTTCATATTCTATATAATTCCATTTTAGGGTAAATTGTGGAATCTTTCTATAACTGAAAAACAAATAGAGGTTAGAAACAGTAATATAAACAATAAGTTTAAACATTACATACCTTTCATTTATTATAGAATATATTAGTTTCTATTTAAAAAACAATCTTCGAGATATATTCTTTACACAATAGAAGATATCTTTGCTGAAATTTAACATGTTTCCAAAATTTTCTATGGTTAGTGTTTGCAAATTGACGTTTTACCATAGATGTATCTCTTATAGATTCTTTATGTATTCTAAGGTTATAAGAATGCATTGACTAATCTCTCAACTATTAATGACATCACAAATCCTCAACATGCCTCAAGAGTAATAGAAACACACATATTCATTGCGACCTAATAATAAAAAATATTTGTAAAAATTAGGCTTATGTTAGTCTTTTTTTTATTCTAATGTAAAATGTATATGTTTTTTTTTTCACTTCCGATTCAACAGGTTTTGTTCTAGTTGTTGTTCTTGTTTGGAGGAGTGTATGTGTGTCTAAATAAAAAAAACACTAAAGATTTTTTTTATTTACATCAACATCGATAATATTTTTAAAATTAAAAAAAAAAACTATGGGACTGATGCGGGCAGAGAGGATGCTAAACTTGCAAAATGTTTAAGTTTTTTTCTGCATTCGTCGGAGTGAAGGCGCGCCACTTGTAACTCGCTCTGCAGCAGGGCAATTTTAGTTTCAGTCTCTTTGATCCGGTCCTCGTTTCGCACCAGCTGCGACTCTAAAACCATTTTCAACTGGAACGCTTCGCATACCACCTTTCTTTCTTCGTCGTCGATAAACGTATCGAACCAACCGGAGGAGGAGGAGGATGAGCCGGTATGCTGCTGCTGCTGCTGCTGCTGAACCGTTTCTTCGCTTTTTCTTTTTTTTTTGTGAGGCTTTGGGGGTGTCGTCGCACTACGACATGTTTACGCAGGTTGAAGCTTTACACTGTGCCCATTCACGGCCTAAAAGGCATGACCAGTCAAACTTCAAAAGGATTAACTCGATGCACCATTAAATCACAAAATCAAGCAACTCCTCTACTTTCGTTCGATGCCATTGTCGTACCACAGCTATGTACTGAGAGACCTGCAATCCAACTCGATAACGCTGGCAGAGAAAATTTAAAAAATCTGGAGTTGGCTGACCGCAATTACCATATTCCCGGTGTTGTAGATCTTGTAATTGGCGATTAACTGGTCAAATCCTACTCGCTGGACGCATCCCAGGTGCGTCCGGTCATCCATCTGCTTTAGAAACTAATAGGAAAGGTACAAAACTAGTTGAATAATTTGTCGACTGTTACGTCATGTTGCAGCAGTATTGGCATAGATACTTATTTTCTGAAATTCTGGGAAGTAGAAAGCATACCGACTAAGCATCCCGCTTCCCCGGAGGACGAAAGGTGTGAGACTATTTTCGCAAATACGACCCGCAGGAACAAGAGTGGTAGATTTATCGCATCCCTACCCTTTAAACACCCAGAATCTTAGCTTGTTGTCGCTGGAAAAGCGTCTTTCTCGAAACCCAGAGCTCTATTCTATGTATCTCGACTTTATGCGCGATTACCTGAAAGATATTTATAAAGGTTCTTGGATTACAATGGAGCCACATCTCCGATGCTTTTTCATACCATTGCCTACCTGGCCTTGCATGTAGATGAATAAAGGGACATCCAGGCCCACATAACCTCACTTTTTGGCTTCCCTGCCACGGCCCCTCCGCCCACGGGTCTTCTTCTTTTACCCTGGACCCATTGGCCACCAGCCCATGGACCACTCGGCCATGGTCTTCTTCTTTTTGTGTTCTGGCCGTTCGCCATAGGTCACTCGCCCAAACCTTACCAAACCGTCGTCAGTGGTGCCAACCGTAGTCCGTGGTGCCAACCAAACCGTTGTCTTTGTCCGTTCGCCCGCGTGCCGTTCGGGGACCCCCGCCATCTCGGGGGGGCTGCCGTGAAAACCCGTCCGTCGTTGAACGGTCACTTTAATGCCGAGCTAATTATGTACCGTCGGTTCCGTCCCGTTGCTGCTAGATGTCGCGCGCGCCGTTCGCCCGCGTGCCGTTCGGTGGCCCCCCGCCCGCGCGGGGGCGTAGACCCCGATCGTTGTCAGTGGTGCCAAATTAACCAAACCGTGGTGCCAACCTAACCGTGGTCCGTGGTGCCAACCGTCGTCCGTGGTGCCAACCAAGTGACGCAAACGTCACCGGCAGGGAGGCGTAAATAAGATAAGAATATCCGTTGATAATGCTATTAATAAAACATCCGGAACACGCAATAACATTTCAGTTTAATAATGAACGTCACACCGCCGAGAAATTATTTCGTCTACTCCAAAAAAATCGTGTGTTCAAAGTATAATTACGCGCGCAAATACAAATATCAGCTACAACCGTATTGGATAAGCAAAGTAAAACTCCTTGACGTGTGTCCAAAGTGTACCCATCCTACAGTGCATCTTGTGAGATACGACACCCGTCATTACTACTAAAATGACAACCAAAAAACGCGTATTCACCTGTTTTATAAATTGTGATGATATGAAAGAAAAACTGGAAGCAATGCAAGGCCAGGTAGCCTGGTACATCGGCCAACAAGAAACAGGTAGGCTTTCGCAATGAATTTTACGCGAACTATTGAGGACGCTCAAAATTTAATTTTCGCTTTTCGTCAAGTGAACAAGGAGCGAACGGAGGTTAAACCGCCGCGTGCAATGCTCCACCACAGAATCATCTCGGTGTCTTCTACGTCTCTTCTTCGTGTTCGAATGTGGTTGTATCTACCATAGATTCAAATTCGGATGGGCACTGCAGAACCGTATTGGATAACGTCGCAACTGTCAATGACTTCACAAATTTCACGTTAGAATTAAAATATGTCATATTGGTAATTTCACGAATTAGGCAATTATGTGATATTATGTATGATATTATTAGGCAATTACATGCGATGAAATATTAGAAAATTATTGTAGTTTTTTGGTAATTTCGTTAAGATGTTTAAACATCATTATGCAAAAATATCTATTTTTCTTTTACTTTTTCCTTAATTATAATACTTTAGGAAGGGAAGTAATTTATGTAGTAATAAATATTTTTGAATTATTATTTTTTACATAAACGATATTTTATTCTTTATAGTTTTCTTTTATTTCATTTCTTGTCGTCACTTTATGTTCTTAAAAGAAATAAAAAGGAATCTGTAAACAATACCGAATTTGTTTGACAGATTGTGTAGACTTATGTTTTACATTTCTTGTGTTAAACTCGAAAAACTTATTATGTTACATAAAACGAATATAAAAAACTTACTTGTTAAATTGAAATTTATGTCTAAATGAAGTATTTTCTTGGATGACTCGACGAATACTTACAAAGTTTCAATGATCGTTTATTTAATAAAATTGTCTCTCTTTTTTTTATAATTGATGAATGATATTCTTCATAACTAAGTTGTCGGTAGTGACTTATTGTCCACCTAGAAATATATAATAATTTTTACATTTTCATTGAGAGAAATAAATGGAAAATTTTACATTCAAAAAGAAATATTAGAAAATTAGAATTTAAAAAACTTGAATAATTTAAAAAATACATAAATAAATGAAACACATTAAAACATTAATATTTCATATTAAGAATAATAATATAAATATTAAAAGAAAATTAAGATTAATTATCATGTTTTCATTCATTCATTTAAATATATATATTTTTTAATTATTTCTTTTTATTTAGATGATATAAGCCTTTGTAAAATAGTGATGGTAATTTTTTGGATGAAATTATCAGTTGGTTCATGTTCAATAACTGATTGAAGGCATTCCTTATAGGGAAATTGTTAATGATGGTTTGTTTTTAATCTGCAGGATTATAACATGAAAAAAATTTACCGTCAAAAAAGTAAATAAAATATTTTAAATTTATCATGCAATTTTAGTAAATAAATTGAAAATCGTCTATTTGAATACTTACACATATATATGATTCATTTAAATGTTGACAAAAACAATAAAACTAACTTGAATTGTGTAAATAATTATAAAAGATTATATGAAACGTTAATTTTATACCAAATATCAATTACGACTTATAATTTGAACATGATAAAACTTTACCTGTGTTTCTATCCATTTATCCGAATAATATTTTACTTAGATAATTTTTTTCCAAATTTCCAAAGTTATCAGAAGTCGTTTTATTGATAACTCATTGATGATAATTTTTGCTGTTAAACTACCCTCTTCTAAGCGGTTCTTCAATGGTCTAATTTGTTACCTGGGACGTCAGTTTTTTTTTTTAGGGGGTAACCATAGGAAACAAAACGATTATGAATTAGAGGTAATGAAAAATAATATGGCATAAAAATTAAAAATGTTATATTAAATACCTTTAATTTAAAAATTCGTCGACACGTACCCATTTTGACATTTTCTACGTTTAACTGTGTTCGCGTTTACCATAGTTTGAAACTCGGATGGGCATTGTAAAACCGCATCAAATAATCCTACAACTGTTGATGACGTCATAAATTTAAAATTGTCATTATTAATATTAGAATTAAGATTATGTATTATTATTGTTGATTGGATAAATGAAGTAATTATGTACAAAGACATTACAATTTTTGTTAATTTCATCATGATGTTTAGATATTGTTATTGGAAAATATATTTAAAAGTAATTTGTAATCTTTTACATTATTTTCTTAAAGAAGTAAAAAGGAATCTGTAATTTCGAAATTGCTTGATAAATGGCGTAGATTTATGCTTTGTATATATTTGTTTTTCAGCTTGAAAATATAGGATACTATGTAAAATAATTATTGATTTTAATTTGATATATTTTATAAAATAAATATTAAAGACTTACTTGTTAAATTAAAATTTCTTTATCCAAATAATGTATTTAATTTAATAAAATAATGTATTGTATCAATTATTTGTCGCAAATTCTCAAATTCTATAATCATCACAAATGAAATAAAAATAAATTAGAGGTTATAAAAAATAAAATCACATACGACAAAATATTACAAAAATATTGTATCTTCTTTTACATTTAATGAAAACTATTTTAGTCAAAATGAAAAGATTTTTTATGATAAAACATCTGATTTTTGTATTGCATTAATTATTTTTCCACAAATTCTTAAATCCTGCAACCATCGGAGACAAAACAATAACAAATTAAAGATTATGGAAATTATTATCACATAAAAATTTTAGAGGTTATGAAAAATAATATCGCATAAAAATTAAAAATGTTATATTAAATACCTTTAATTTGTAAAATGTATTTGTTTCTCTTGGAAATAAATCCCAGTGACGCATTTTTTCACGCAATTGACGACGACATGCCATAATTTAAAAATTCGTCGACACGTACCCATTTTGACATTTTCTACGTTTAACTGTGTTCGCGTTTACCATAGTTTGAAACTCGGATGGGCATTGTAAAACCGCATCAAATAATCCTACAACTGTTGATGACGTCATAAATTTAAAATTGTCATAATTAATGTTAGAATTAAGATTATGTAATATTATTGTTGATTGGATAAATGAAGTAATTATATACAAAGGCATTACAATTTTTGTTGATTTCATCATGATGTTTAGGTATTGTTATTGGAAAATATGTTGGAAAATATATTTGAAAGTAATTTGTAATCTTTTACATTATTTTCTTAAAGAAAAAGGAATCCGTAATTTCGAAATTGCTTGATAGATGGTGTAGATTTACGCTTTGTATATATTTGTTTTTCAGCTTGAAAATATAGGATAATATGTAAAATAATTATTGAATTTAATTTGATATATTTTCTAAAATAAATATTGTATCTTCATTTACATTTAATGAAAACTATTTTAGTCAAAATGAAAATATTCTTTATGATAAAACATCTGGTTTTTGTATTGCATTAATTATTTTTCCACAAATTCTTAAATCCTGCAACCATCGGAGACAAAACAATAATAAATTAGGGATTATGGAAATTATTATCACATAAAAATTAAGATTGTTATATTAAATACCTTTTATGTTTCTTTATGAAATAAATTCCAGTAATACGTTCTTTATGCGATCATCAACGATATTTTTAGAATCTTGAAATTTATAGACATGTATGTTTTCTTACCATCATTTGACTGTAGTTGGGTCTATCATAATTTCTAATAATTTGGATGGTGATTTAAAGTAAAAATAACTAAATTTCATTACATTAGATAACAATTTTTAATTAATATAACTTTATGAGACACATTTATTTATCTTTGATTCAAACCATCTCAGTTGAAATGTAACGATTTTTCATGATGATAGTTCCTTGTTTGTATTAATTTTGGAGTTTCATATTTACTGAAAATAAAAAACAATAAATTAAAAGACCTGAAAAACAAAAGTATATTCAAAGTTATTATTTTATGAAATTCATTTTAAAATGTATCTTTAATAACTAATCAATGGTAATGATAATATATTCATTGATAAATTAAAACAATGTTTAATTTTCTTTCTTTCATTATTATAAATTACTAACAATTAAATTTCAGACAAATCATAATCTTAATATGGCAATCAATAATTAATATTTTCATCAGCAAAAATGTATAATCGAAATTTTCCAGTAAATGAAATTTAAAATTGTAAAACTCTACTAAACATAAAAATTCAATCTAAAAATGATAAATATTTTTAAACATGATATAATCATTCACCTGATATTTCCTTGATATAAAAGTAACTACAATTCTTTCAATGAAACAGTAATTTTCAGTCGTCAAAATTTATAAATTATCTTTACCCATATCCGATTGCATAAAAAGGGAGAAAGCCTCGTATTTTCTGCTTACCGAGTGCTTTGCTTTAACATGAGCAAGATTGGGAGTCTTCCGAATGACCCTGATCGATCGGGATTCAGCGCATGGTATTACTAGACTAAAGAAGTTGCTAACCTTCTATAGAAAGGGTGGCATTTTGGACATTCTCTAGAGCGGTCTGGTGGCCTAAATGCTTGGACGCCCACGAGCGCCTCCCTTCAATATCAATACCAATATCCATATCCGATAAAAATCATTTTAAACGAATTATAATGATTCTTGACAATGAAACTTTTAAAAGTTGTGTAATATCAATATATACTTTATAATTTATCTTGTTCATATTCTATATAATTCCATTTTAGGGTAAATTGTGGAATCTTTCTATAACTGAAAAACAAATAGAGGTTAGAAACAGTAATATAAACAATAAGTTTAAACATTACATACCTTTCATTTATTATAGAATATATTAGTTTCTATTTAAAAAACAATCTTCGAGATATATTCTTTATACAATAGAAGATAGCTTTGCTGAAATTTAACATGTTTCCAAAATTTTCTATGGTTAGTCTTTGCAAATTGACGTTTTACCATAGATGTAACTCTTATAGATTCTTTATGTATTCTAAGGTTATAAGAATGCATTGAATAATCTCTCAACTATTAATGATATCACAAATCCTCAACATGCCTCAAGAGTAATAGAAACACACATATTCATTGCGACCTAATAATAAAAAATATTTGTAAAAATTAGGCTTATGTTAGTCTTTTTTTTATTCTAATGTAAAATGTATATGTATTTTTTTTTCACTTCCGATTCAACAGGTGTTGTTCTAGTTGTTGTTGTTGTTTGGAGGAGTGTATGTGTGTCTAAATAAAAAAAACACTAAAGATTTTTTTTATTTACATCAACATCGATAATATTTTTAAAATTAAAAAAAAAACTATGGGATTGATGCGGGCAGAGAGGATGCTAAACTTGCAAAATGTTTAAGTTTTTTTCTGCATTCGTCGGAGTGAAGGCGCGCCACTTGTAACTCGCTCTGCAGCAGGGCAATTTTAGTTTCAGTCTCTTTGATCCGGTCCTCGTTTCGCACCAGTTGCGACTCTAAAACCATTTTCAACTGGAACGCTTCGCATACCACCCTTCTTTCTTCGTCGTCGATAAACGTATCGAACCAACCGGAGGAGGAAGAGGATGAGCCGGTATGCTGCTGCTGCTGCTGCTGAACCGTTTCTTCGCTTTTTCTTTTTTTTTTGTGAGGCTTTGGGGGTGTCGTCGCACTACGACGTGTTTACGCAGGTTGAAGCTGTGCCCATTCACGGCCTAAAAGGCATGACCAGTCAAACTTCAAAAGGATTAACTCGATGCACCATTAAATCACAAAATCAAGCAACTCCTCTACTTTCGTTCGATGCCATTGTCGTACCACAGCTATGTACTGACAGACCTGCAATCCAACTCGATAACGCTGGCAGAGAAAATTTAAAAAATCTGGAGTTGGCTGACCGCAATTACCATATTCCCGGTGTTGTAGATCTTGTAATTGGCGATTAACTGGTCAAATCCTAGTCGCTGGACGCATCCCAGGTGCGTCCGGTCATCCATCTGCTTTAGAAACTAATAGGAAAGGTACAAAACTCGTTGAATAATTTGTCGACTGTTACGTCATGTTGCAGCAGTATTGGCTTAGATACTTATTTTCTGAAATTCTGGGAAGTAGAAAGCATACCGACTAAGCATCCCGCTTCCCCGGAGGACGAAAGGTGTGAGACTATTTTCGCAAATACGACCCGCAGGAACAAGAGTGGTAGATTTATCGCATCCCTACCCTTTAAACACCCAGAATCTTAGCTTGTTGTCGCTGAAAAAGCGTCTTTCTCGAAACCCAGAGCTCTATTCTATGTATCTCGACTTTATGCGCGATTAAATGGAAGATATTTATAAAGGTTTTTGGATTACAATGGAGCCCCATCTCCGATGCTTTTTCATACCATTGCCTACCTGGCCTTGCATGTAGATGAATAAAGGGACATCCAGGCCCACATAACCTCACTTTTTGGCTTCCCGGCCATGGCCCCCCCGCCCACTGATCTTCTTCTTTCACACAGGACCCATTGGCCACCCGCCCATGGACCACTCTGCCATGGTCTTCTTCTTTTTGTGTTCTGGCCGTTCGCCCATAGGTCACTCGCCCAAACCTTACCAAACCGTCGTCAGTGGTGCCAACCGTGGTCCGTGGTGCCAACCAAACCGTTGTCTTTGTCAGTTCGCCCGCGTGCCGTTCGGGGACCCCACCGGCAGCCCCCCCCGCCATCTCGGGGGGGCTGCCGTGAAAACCCGTCCGTCGTTGAACGGTCACTTTAATGCCGAGCTAATTATGTACAGTCGGTTCCGTCCCGTTGCTGCTAGATGTCGCGCGCGCCGTTCGCCCGCGTGCCGTTCGGGGGCCCCCCGCCCGCACGGGGGCGTAGCCCCCGATCGTTGTCCGTGGTGCCAAATTAACCAAACCGTGGTCCGTGGTGCCAACCTAACCGTGGTCCGTGGTGCCAACCAAGTGACGCAAACGTCACCGGCAGGGAGGCGTACGTACCGAAGGCGCGGGGGACAGGAAATAGATAAGAATATCCGTTGATAATGCTATTAATAAAACATCCGGAACACACAATAACATTTCAGTTTAATAATGAACGTCACACCGCCGAGAAATTATTTCTTCTACTCCAAAAAAATCGTGTGTTCAAAGTGTAATTACGCCCGCAAATACAAATATCAGCTACAACAGTATTGGATAAACAAAGTAAAACTCCTTGACGTGTGTCCAAAGTGTACCCATCCTACAGTGCATCTTGTGAGATACGACACCCATCATTACTACTAAAATGACAACCAAAAAACGCGTATTCACCTGTTTTATAAATGGTGATGATATGAAAGAAAAACTGGAAGCAATGCAAGGCCAGGTAGCCTGGTACATCGGCCAACAAGAAACAGGTAGGCTTTCGCAATGAATTTTACGCGAACTATTGAGGACGCTCAAAATTTAATTTTCGCTTTTCGTCAAGTGAACAAGGAGCGAACGGAGGTTAAAACGCCGCGTGCAATGCTCCACCACAGAATCATCTCGGTGTCTTCTACGTCTCTTCTTCGTTTCGAATGTGGTTGTATCTACCATAGATTCAAATTCGGAAGGGCACTGCAGAACCGTATTGGATAACGTCGCAACTGTCAATGACGTCACAAATTTCACGTTAGAATTAAAATATGTCATATTGGTAATTTCACGAATTTGGCAATTATGTGATATTATGTGTTCGGGAAAACCGAACAAATAAATAAATTCAAATGTTAGACGCCAGGCATGCTGGCAACCCGTGTTACACGGTTGAAGTTATGAGAAAAGGCAAGAAGGGGGAAGCGTCTCCCGTTTGCTGGCAATTAATCGTTTTCATTGAGTTTTCCTTCGATGTTGTTGTGAAAGGATTTATTAATTTTTCTATTCGTAGAGTGAAATCTCGTTTCTGCTTTACGTTAAACGTGTGTTGTACAAAAGGTGATTATAATTTTGGTTATAAACGCAAGGCATGTTGGCGATAATTAGGTCACGTCATTAAAGTGCTTGCGAAAACCTTTTGGAATTTGAATTACCCGGATGTTGCAATCTCAACATTTGTTGGTCGTGTTCGAGCCGGATCAGCGTGAAATAAAGTTCAGTTTGAGTCCAAATCCACAATTCTACAGTCCACTAGTTTCGATGAGCGGAGTCCATTAGTTTCAATGGTTATTTCAAGTTTAGTTCCAGTCCAAGGCCACGATTTGCTGTCCACAGTGTAAGAAAATTGGTCCTAGAACGGAGGAGTCGCTTGGTTTCGAAGCATATGTGAGAAAGTAGTAAGTAGTAGGAGCCCGAGTTCAGTTCCAGTCCAAATTCAAATTTGAAAGTGCATAAGGTGTACGCCGAAGCAGTTCCAGCCGGGAAAAACAAGGTCAGATCCATCCTTTGTTTACAATCTGTTTCTTTTCCATGTAGTGTCGAAGGTGGTACAGTATTTCAAACATTGTTGGTGACTCAAATGACTAGATTTCTCCTCTTTGCAGTTACAGTGTGGTAACTTAATACAATCTTTTCCTAAGAAATTCCTTTTCTCAAGATTTGTGAGTAGAGACACTTTGTTTTATTCCCCAATAATTGTTATTTCTATATTTGTATTTGAATTCAAGTTTGTACAACGAGATTTCCTTTACGTTAATAATCTATAAACTAAATTCTAGATGGAGACCCTAATAAAAAAGAGAGCTTCGGTAAAAGGTACCATTACACGAATTGATAATTGGTTGCAAAACAATGGAGATGTAGCTACATTTGAAGATTTAGAGATTAGATTAAAGGCTTTAGAAACTGCATTCCAAAAGTTCTGTCAAATTCAAGATGAGATCGATATATTATCTGATATAGATGACCTAGAAAGAGCCTCATATGAGGAAAAATATTTTAGTCTCAGTTACAAACAAAAATCAAATTATTCCAAACTGCTCATCAAAATGAAATCCCTTTTAACAGTTCTGAAGTTCAGCCTACAGTTTCACAAACTTCACAAAAAATTCGACTTCCCGAACTAAACATTCCTCAGTTTTCAGGCGATATTACAGGGTGGAATAGTTTTTATCAGATTTTCGAAAAATGCATTATAAATAACTCGGAAATTTCTAACTTCGACAAATTAGTTTATCTGAAATCTTACTTGCTTGGTGAAGCACTTAGCTTGATAGAAAGTCTTACTTTAGAAGGTTCAAATTTTGACACAGCAATTAATATTCTTAAAAAAAAGGTATGATAAACAACTTCCAATGGTGTATGCGCATTTTCAGAGTTTGCTAGATAGTCCCTCCTTAAGAAAGACTCATTCCATGAATTCTAGACAGTATCTGAGTTTTATAACCCAAAACATAAATTCAATTAAAAATTTGAAAGGGGATACATGGGACTTGACCATTATTTATATTTGTTCCTTGGGTCTAGATTCCACTACTCGTAGAGCTTTTGACCAAGAAATTGATCCTCAAACATTTCCTACACTAGACAAGTTTTTGAAGTTTTTAGAGAAAAGGTGTGACTTAATGGAGAATGCAGAAATTCCCGATTTAAATAAAGGCAAAGGTCAGAGAAGACCGCAAAGTTTTCACAACGTTCATGTTTGCCAAAACATTTCAGACAATCGACCATCTTTCTCCACCCAGAAAGGCAGAGCTTCCTCCCCGAATAACAATAAAATTAGTCATCTTTCGGCACAATCAAATAGTAAACGCTGTTTATATTGCAAAATTTCTGGTCACACGATTTATAAATGTCAAACCTTTAGTCAGTTGAGTAATCAATAGAAAACGGATTTTGTAAAAAACGAAAAATTATGTTTCAATTGCCTCGCATATGGTCATTCTGTTAAAAATTGTAAATCCACTGGTTGCATGGTACGTTCTTGTTGAAGATTTCACCACACAT